TAATACATGAGCTCCCTACCGCTGACCACCAATATTACTTCCATAAAAACAAGATTGGCTGCAGTAAATAGCAGCTCACCTTCAGAGTATTCATGATTCAAGGATTTCATTTGTGCTAAGCCATACCCAGGGGAGGTGGGTTGGATCTCCATGTCTTTATGAATGGGCCCAGAACAAATCTTCCTCACCTTTTCCTCACAATTAGTCACAGCCGTGTGTCAAAAATCGACTGCCTCTGTATGTCACTGTCATTGGCCAAGGCCAAGTCGAGCCGTTTGAGAGGCTGCCCTCCAGAGGACCCCAGAGATAGGATCGGAGCGCTGCAGGAAATACCACCAAGTCTGACACGCAACACAACACACTCCTCCCTCAGGTCACACCACTGCGGGGCCTGTAACGTGTGTATTCATATGAAATATATGAACATTGTTTACAGTTCAAAGACGTTCATGGGATATATTCTCTTCTGTTTTGAAGAGGGGAGTGTAATTTCTGCATGGGACTCCACATGATGATCCACAATGAGAGTCACATTATACTGCGGCAGCCAGAGTGTGATATAACTAGTACGTGCACATCACTTGGCTCTATGTACAATACGCTGTTAGCTCAAGTATTCTCATGTGCCTCAATGGCGTCATACAGAATTGCCCATGTGAGAAATCATCTGTTTCTCCTGAAGGTTTTTCTGGTCCTTGTTCATGTCCACTTGTCAGTTAAACATACACGCACAAACACACTTATACACAATCAGCATTTCCACCCTCAGGAACTGGTTGAGAAAAAGGAAATGCCAATATTTCCAGGAATTCCTTTGAAATGTTTGATTGTTCAAGTCTTCAATTGGCTGATGATTTGTGTCATGTTAAGTATTGGCTGTAGGGCTTTAGGGTGTGAACATTAAAATGCAAACATTACATGTCTTCTGCCATACCATTCTGTATAATTACTGTATGCTCTCTGCCAAATGAATATAGTTGTGGTTTTAATGATGTAGCTGAAGAAATAAAAGAGAAAATGTCTCTTTTATTATTCATCTGATAACAGGCATTGGGAAGTACTGTATTTTAAATGTTTCTTCTATGTAAATGTGTTATTGTTAAAAGAAAATAAAAAAAAAGTGATTGTAAATCAGGAACAAAGAGTCAAAAATTCACTCAAAAATTGCATCAAACAATGTTTCACTTCAAAACAAAAACAAAACAAAAACATGTTGCATTGTTGTTGTACAATATTTAGCACTGACACTGACAATAATTAATATTCATGAGACTGCGACTTTGCAGCCCCTCAGGATGGTTAAATTAATTATGCTAACAGGGTCATTTAACTGCTTTATTCAAAGCAAGCAATTCTCGTGCAATAAATGACACAATAATTACGCACACAATCTAACAAGATGACAGTGACAAGTGGAGGAGTGACACACTCATCTCCATAAAGTACAAAGAACACATTTACACACGCAAATACACAACAAACAAAAAAACTGAAGTAAAATCCATACAGGCAAGATGAAAGAATAACAAAAACAATGGTTTTACATCTACTGCAGCTTTTCTCTCTATGAGTAGTAAATATGATTTATTACTACGTGTTATTATTTAGCGTTATTCATCTTCTCTGTCAGTGCACACAGAGGGGTAATAGAAATGCCAGCAAGGTGGCTGATTTACTTAGTAAAATTTTCATATCAAGGCTTGCGAGGCATGATTGGAGTCTGTAAGAGTAACGGGAAATCATGCATTATGTAGGCGAATCTGACACGACCTTGAGACTTCTCAGCACAGACCATATATTACCATCAGAGCGACCTTCCTGTCCTGAAGATACATCTGATGTGTTTAAGGCTGTTTTACAATGCATTAGGAGGGCTTTACATGTGCTGAGCTCACTTTATTTGCTCATACATTTCACAGGAAGAGTTTAGTGTCAGGCTGATGGGGACCATTCACAGTGACTTGTCGAGACAAATGAGCCCACAAAAACAGGGCGAGGCGGTGGATAATAAGCATTTCAAAGCAAATTCCCACTTTTGCTTTTTTATTTCCCTTCAATATACAGCACATTTACTATTCAGTGAAGCTGTGCTGATTCCAGCTCATCATGTATTCTCACCTGCTGCAATTGATTGACCTGCATCTTGAAGACAGAGAATGGATATAATTTTTCCCACCAAGTGATGGGGCATCAGGATCAATATTCTCACTGTTGGTTAAGCTTTTGCAACCTTTAGAACATCGGCTCTGATCGATCTCTCTCACATAATTGTCTTCATTTTCAAATCAAGTTTTTTTTCCCTTTTGTACATGCCAATGACATTTGGAATGCCTCATGGTCTTGCTATATGACCCATTGAAATACGCAGTAAAGGGCACAAAGCACAGATTCATTAGCATGCTACATTTATTGTCCATGTCTCCCTCTTTCCACTCTTCACCCCTGTGGTATAAACATGTGGAGAGAGTGAGGCCATGTTGTATTTCCATATAAAAAGCCCCATAATTATAGGGGGGGATGAAGACGGTTGTTCCCCTTATCAGAGGAAATGATAAGGGAGTACCAGGCTCTGTGAAAGAGTCCATTTTGATATAATTGGCAGTGGAATTATTTATGACATTAATTGCCACATTATCGACTGGCTGTCAGCTCCTGTGTCAGTCTGTCCATCTTTCTTAGCAGAAAGAGCCAGCTCAGCCTGGTGCCCACTGACAAGCTAATTACTACAGCACAACCCGGAATGACAAATGTTACTCATCTAAGACTGGGCCCGGAAATAAGGGCCACTCCCCCCCCCCATTTGGCTTCTCTGGATCAAGTGAGACAGCAGTGTGCTGCCAAATGTCTTCAGGTGCAGGAGGGAAAGAGTTTTTATGTCAGACAGAGAGAGAGAGGAGAGAGAGAGAGAGAGAGAGAGGGGGGGGGGGATTTCTAGAGCCAGGGGGACAGTTAAATCTAAATCTCACCCCATCCTGTTTGCTGCTCTGCTATCAGTGGCCAGTTGTCACTCATAAAGACAAGTCCTTTTTTTCTCCTTCTGCCTCCTTGTAAATTTGCATTAGCTCATGCCAATCAGTCATCAGACTGTGGGCTGATACGTAGTGACGGGGTGATTGGTGCTTAGTTCTTTTGACAGTGAGTCACACACAAGTGTGCCTTTTGGGGAGGTGAATTGTGCTGTGCTACCAAGGTAATACAGAGCTCAAAGATTATGTGGTATGTAAATACATTTTAAGGTACCCAAAATCAGAAAATTACAATATTGTGCCACTTACAGTACAAAATACACTATATTATATGTAAATGTACATACTATACAAGAAGTCTGTGTAATTCACAACTGTGTATAAATAAGAAATGAATCAAAACTTTTACTTTTCAAATATTTCCAAAAATAACCAATATTCCAAGAGCTGTCTCACCATTGTCTGCATTCTTAAAAAGGTAGGTGGTATAAGTGTGTCTATCAACAACACACTCTAAAATCTTGCTTTTATTATATTTCCAGTGTAATGCCCTACCTGGTTATAATTAGTATGTAGCATGAAATCAACCGATAACTTGAACTGAAATATGAAACATTTAATGTTTCGTATTTGTTTTTTATAACAAAAAAAAAATACTACAAAAATTCACTACTGTGCGCAGACGTCCAGCTGGGGCTCACACAAGCCTGGATACACATAGAAAATATGTAGGTACAGCTTTATCTATTTTTATTTTTTTGAGTACACACACAGACACACATATGCTGGCTAGTACAGGAGCCTGCAGGGCTACTATAGCAGAATGTCACTGATCTGCTCTGATGAAGTGGCGTGCCATTTGTTCAGCCAGGAAGTTCCCAAGGAGCAGCAGCAGTGACAGAGCTTAGGGTCAAGGAGGGCATCGCCTACAGGTAGATCTGTGGCTCACACCTTAATTAATCTACTGTCCGTGATGCCAAGCATCCCATTCATCCCCCGCATGCACAAAGGCACACGTCAAGCATATGTCAACCCGCTCCGGCACTCCCCGCCCATCCCATAATGCAGTTTGTGTTGGTGTGGCAGCTCGGGATGTGTCCCTGACGAGGATAGGAAGTGACACACACCAAACTCGGTGTGTCCCCCAGCCAGCTCCGGTGGCTCGGGGCCTGTCAATTCCAGCTCCATCAGTGGCACTGGCTCAATGGCAGTGCCTGTGACACATGTCACAAAGTTTTAAATGTCTGCTCTTTTCAGCAGGATGGCTGGGCGCGCGCCGCAGCCAGGGGAAGGATGACATTTTGTGTCGTGCGGGGGGAACTTGTTGTGGCTCCCCTCTTCCTGCCTCCTCCGGCTGTCAGCCCCAGTTTCCTCTGAGCATATCAAAACACAGACAAATAAACCTTGTCATTTTGAAACGCCGGCACTAGTGACCAGGCTCCTGAACGGCATGTCAGCTGGAATATGGTCACAGTCCTGTAGGAAGTGGTGTGTGACCACATGCAAGCAAGCATGCATACTCACACGCACACAATCTTGTAAACTGGCACACATGTTTAAGCTAATAGACATAAGAAATAAACAAATACAGGCACAGTGGACTAACATTGCATGAGGCTATCTCTGACCTTTCCTTCATCTGTCTATGGATGATTGACATGCTGGACTGAAGCTCAACATGGTTTCAAATCCCAAATAAAGCAAGCCTCTCCCCACTATCTCATCACCATGGTTTGCTCAGCTACTTCACCTCTGAGGAGGTAGGAAATGTAATCAAGACTTGACATGAGAGTCAGTCAGGGACATCTTTTTAACAACGTTTGCAAGCGTAATGACGAGTAACACAGGTCTATTACTACTGATTGGCTCTATTGATAGGCTCACAGGAAAAAATATTAAACGTTATTAATGAGATGGACATTTGATCATTAGGAAACAGTGTGTCGTGGTGGCAGAAAGAATTAGTGTCAAAGCAGTAGCGTACCTTAAGCTCTGTATCAATTTGACATGAGACATGTTAGTTCAACCCTTTTAATCACTTGAAGACATCCTGCTAATAGAATTTCATACACTAGATCAGCTATATCACAATATTCATTCATAAAAAAATATCAGATTGGAAGGTTGCATGAAGAACTTTTAATAAGACGTTTAAAAATGTTGGCACGTTACCATTAGTGGTTGTAATTAGGAATTAAAAATCACAATAAACAAAAAACATGATGATTTTAAAGTCTTATAAAATGTAAACATTAAAAAAAAAGATAGATAGAGTCAATATTCCATTAGGTGAAATGTTTATGTGTAGATGATGTCTTACAGTTTGTGCATATGCGTCACTGCAGTACAAATAACAAAGGGAATATTTGGTTCCACTTTATTTGGATACTCTGCATACAGATAGCCTATACGAGAGTATCTGTCACATTTCAACAGTTTGAGATTCAACAATTCAACTGTTTCACAAATAAAGGTTTGGTTAGTTTTAGTCATAAAACACATCTTGGTTAAGGGTATGTTCATAAATTATCATATATATACTCTATAGATAATCTGTTAAACGTCTACAGACAAAGCAAATGTTTCAAATACTATACAGACAGTTTATAATACTATAAATCTTTAAGCACACTATCCAAATAAAGAGTCACCAAATATTTCAGCACGGAATAGTTAACTGGCTAAAGAGTCACAGTGGGAAAGGCAAAAAAACCCATAACAAACATACTTTTACTAACATACTCTATTTTTCATTAAAGCTGGGACTGGAATGTTTTTGACTTGCATTTCAGACATCTCTTCCATGAAATATATATGCTAACATATACACACTAGAAACAGCAACTGCCTGAATCATTGCTTAGCTATCAGACATAGAGACACAAAAATAAAATTAATTCAATGAAAGTCATTCAAACAAACACTTCTGCACACTAAACAAGGCAGACTGATCTTGCTTCAAGTCTGGACTGAAAATCTTAGGAATGTTTAACCAGGCTGTATAAACCTTATTCTGTCAAATTCTTTGTCTTGATGTCTTAATGTTTTTAACAGCAGTTAGGTGTGTGAGAATGTGTGTGTAAAAGAGAGAGAGAGAATGAGAGAAATGAGACCATGTCAGGCCCCAGGTGTGTGACCGTCACCCCTTTCACCCTTGATTAGTGGCGGTAGTGGATGGGTGATCCATCATGGCTGTCAAAGAAAAGGATGCAATTGGTTGGGTCTGTTTGTCACTGACTGTGCGTGAGAGAGAGAGAGAGAAAGAGAGAAAGAGATAGAGAGAGACTGTCCTTGTGTGTGTGTTGTGTGTGTCTGGAGTTGTGCGGTTGCTGATGCTTACAGGCAATCATGTCAGTGGTAGTGTCATGTCTGACTCTGACTCTAAGCTGGAAGCAGGGAGTCAGAGGCAGACACAGCTCAGCAGTGGAGGCCGTAACTATGGGGCTGGAATAAAAACTTTAAAAAAAACAAAAAAAACAAAACACATTCCCCTTACATAACTCAGAGGGAGATGACGTGACTCAAATATCACCAGTGGTTTTAATAAATAAGAGATTGATTTGATCCTCTTTTCTTCTGTTGACATCCGTTGTCACTCATGTTCCTCTTCCTCCCGACCAGCTTTCCATCAGAGTTGATCGTTTCGGATGAATCTGTTGCCTTCTGAGTGCTTGCCATAGTAGACGTAGCGACACTTGGCGAATACCCCTGAAAACAAAATGAGAGAAAGATCAGATGAGGTGTGGGTCACAATTGTAGTTTTAAAAATAAATAAGAAAACATTTATAATTAAAAACTGAAAAAAATAATTTAAACATATATCTAGACTGTAATATATTATATTTATTTAACTGTAACATCAATATGCAGCGACCATTTGGGACTAGATTTATCTCTTGGAATATTTCAGTGACAAACATGAACTCGGATCACAGATCAGTAATTCCTATAGAAATTTTAACTATATTCACATTTATAATTATGAGTGTTTGAAGTATAGATGAGCAGCAGTGTTCCCAACCTGTGAGGCATGACCCTCACTAAAGGGTCATGCCCTGTTCCCCTTGTTCCCCTGTTCCCCTTGTATGTATCACAAGATACATACAAGGTGTATGTGTAAATAATAATATGACTTTTGTCATAGAGTTTGTATCAACACGGTTTTGCTCATACCACAGTTATAAAAGATTATTTGGATCTATTCAAATCCTGTAGTATATTATTGGTAGTAGTCACAATATACACTACATTCTCGAGTACAAAATGGCACTGGACCTCAAGTAAGACTGCAGGAGAAGACCACAGAATGATGCCAATGCAGGTTTCAAAAATGTGAAAACAAGCCTTAAGGTTTTATGAGGCAGCAAATGCATTCAATGTGTTTGTTAGACCCTTAAGGACACATACAGTAAGTTTTAGTGAGAAATGTTGAATGTAAACAAAAGCATGTTTGTTTACTACTGTAAAAAAAAAAATTCCCCAGGGTAGCTTTAGATGGCGGGGTCTGGGTCTGGGTCTGCTCCTTGTAGGGGATGAGAGGTGAGCGTCTTTTTTCCAGAGGAAGACCAGTATGGCCTCGGGGCAAAGTCCTGGCAGTAACAAGCTCACGGCCACCCACGAACAGTACACCCGCAGTTACACACACGCTAAACCATCACAAAAAAGCAATTATCAGCTTAACTATCAACAGGCATGGGTGTGGCGCGTATTTGTGTATGTGCAAATAAAGGGCTAATAAAGCGCTCTAGATCATATAGATCAATTCAGGAGATAGGAACTTGTTACTGTTTACCACTTATACAATATCTTGCCATGGCGCACTAAAGTAAGACATTCTTTGTTTTGATTCGCTTTATGCCTTGCCTTATTATCCCCTGTCAGTTGAGAGGTGGGGGTCAAAATAGAAGAAGTTCTCCTGATTTCCACTGAGATTAAAGTGCTGCAGCTAATCATACTAGCAAAGAGACTCAAATGGAAGAGTCCATATGCTATTTCAATTCATCTGAACAAAGAAAAATGTCTTTAATTATCCTATAAAAGAGGTTTATACATACTATACCCTATATCGATTTTACAGTATAAAGAGTGTAAGTTTAGGAAAGGTAAGCTTGTGGAATTGTATTTACAGAAATCATTTAACCAGAATCCTGAAAAAGAAGCCACATGCCCTCTATGCACCTCAGAGGATGAATCCAAGATGGCCTGCAGTGCTTTCTTGTTGTATGTGGTGTTGCTGGCCAGGGAGAGGGCTGCCCAGAGCACTGTGGCTAGTCTGCTCTGGCTCTGATGTCACCATGCTCCCACTGCCACTTTATGAATGTGGCGGGCTGCAGCTAGGTGTCACCTCTCGCCAAATGAGGCAAGGACAAGTGGCATTAGTGCTGTCAATGATCCTCTGACAGCAGAACAGATACAGCTTTCACCAGGCTTTTTAAATAGACATCAAGTGCATTATAGAAGGAGGGGGGGCCAGGCCAGAGACAGGGCAGGAAAGGAGAGACTTATGGGAGAGGCGGTGTCGCAGAGGGATGAGGGGTGCTCCAAGCGCTAAGTCCAATCACATAATCCAAAGAGACATTGTCAAGGGCGGGAAGAGAATGGCAACTAAGTGACAGAAAGCAGAGACGGGGACAGAGATACTGGTGCCATATTAGTGCCAAGCATATTCTGATGCCACCCTCAATTCTAACCAAACCTGACACATCGCTCTCTTTCCCCCACTCTCTCTGACTCTTCAAAGTAGGCTCTACCAAGTCACACACACACACATACACACACACACACACATTCACACATATAAAGTACGCAGACTTACACACAAAAACACACACACCAGTCCCTTGCAGCAGTAGTGGGTGTTCTGTCAGGCGGAGGAGCAGTACAGCAGCAGCAGCAGCAGCAGCAGCCCACAGGCCCGAGGACAAGCTCAGTCAATCTAAATCTGGACTTTGTAGTGGAGCAGTGCTCATTTCCCCTCATAGCCCAGCTACTTGAGGTGATCCAAACACTGAAGTGTGAGGAGCTGTCACCTTCGATAAAATCCGGGACCAGCTCCATGCCTGCCTGTTCCCCCGGTGTGTGAGGGATACATATACGTGTGTGTTTGTGTGTGCATGTGTGTGTGCTTCTCTGACAGTGAGGAGGTTGTGGCGGAGGGGTGGGGAAAGTATTCCAGCTGCCGTGATTTGCCTGGGGATATAGGTGCCACGGCTGGAGACTGGGCTTGACACCACAGGACTTGGGGTGTCTCACAGTGCTCTGATCACATGGGCGCCGGGGCCTTTCACATATTCACAGCTTACCCGGCGAGAAACTCACTCTCTCCAGGAGCAGGGCCCTTAAAGAGATTACCCACCGAGGAACCAGAACCAAGGCTCCTATAAGACATTACCTAGAGGGGATATATTTGTAGGTTGCAACCAAAGCCTTTCAGAGATAACCTTCACAGATGAAGGAACTAAAGCTAAAGGCCCCTCAAGCCTTCACACTCTGCTGAGCTCGTCACTAGCCCGTGGGGACTGAGAAGGATTGCAGGGAACACATTCTGAGATTCTCCAGCACCAATCAGAAAGCTCTGGCGATGTGTGACCTGTACCTCTCCAACAGCACTTAAAAAAAACAAGCTATATCTGTGATCAAAGGAGAAGGGGAAGAGTCAATTAAGGAAACAAGGAGAACAGTTGAGGGGGGTGAAAAAGTGAAAAATGTTAAACCAAAGTGCGTAAATGTGTTTCTTAATTTTCTGTGCAACCTGGCTCAAGCTCTAGATACATTCCAGCATTACATTAAGCAGTGTGTTTTGTGCATAAACACATTCTAGTTCACTGCGCTCCCTTCACAGCGAGAGCTTGCTCTTATTACGGGAGAAACCATGAGAAAGATGGGGTGGTTGGAGATAGAGATGGGAATAACTAAGCCACACTCACTCTTACATAACGCCTTCTGAGGCCATGCTCGCGCCTGTGGGGTTCCGCCTGATGAACTGATACTTAATAACAAGTGGTACAGTGCCAAACCTAGTAGTCCACGATATCCTCTGTGTATCCTAAGCCATGGATGAACACACTTGAATCAACACCCACACTCTCAACCATATACACATTATCACAAACCCATACACACTTTGATCTCATGCACACAAACACAGCACACAGTGAGAACAGTAGGAGCAGCCATTAAAGTGACAGATTAACAAAGTGATGTGGAGGCTAATGTTTCCATCATGCCCTGGTGGAGGAACAATCAGGCCTTTGTTCTGCATATGTCACACAGCACCTTGTTGTTTTTAAGGGGAGTAGCTATGCCTCTTGTCTTTATTAAAGGACTGTGCAGTCTGTATCTTGTATCTTCCTCTTAGTGAATGCTGCAGTGTAGGTTCATTGTCAGACAGTCGGGTCTTTTCAGAGCTGATTACCCAAAGCATGTGTCCTCTCTACGGGGGCTTGATGGGCCACTCTGCCACAGTGTGAGTAAGCCAGCTGTACAAAGCCTCCTATGTACAGTGCTCCGCTTTGAAATCCACACATATGGTAACAAAAGTTTTTTTTCTTCTTGTGAATATATAAATTTTTATTTATAAAGTATAATCAATAAGGGTAGGGAAGAAATCAGCTTTATAAATTACTAAAGCCGCTAAACTAATCCTTGCAGTCAAAAGACAGAGTTCTGGCAAAGGTGCAATCAATGATACTTTATTGCCTTGTTGTAAAAAAATGACCATAATATATAAACAGAGGTTAGCAAGTTGTTGATCAATACAGTGTCAGTCACTCAGTAGTACCTGAGATTTCAAGGTGTATAACTGCAGCAGTCCAGCTCACACTCTTGGTTCTAGTGGGCATATTTCTCACGATAGACAGATAAACAATTGAATTGCCTCCTGGGTATGAAAGAAGATTTGTATCTATTAAAAATGTGTTTCCACTGGGTACTGTCTCAGTTTCCAAGGGCACTTGATATCAAAATTAATTACAATTTAGTAGTAATGTTATTCCTATTGAACAAACAGCAGAAGTAAAGTGTCTCATGGGTATTGCAAATCTACATGCAAAACATGAAACAAACCAGAGTATGGCCAAGGCATTACACTACCCCAGCAAGTTAAAGGTTAGTAAAAGATTAAATAAGAACTTTGGTTCTCGGGTCAGTTTGAGTCTCAAATTTCCCCGTATCAGTCAGGTTCTGATGATCTGATCTTAACTACATAGGTACCTGCCAGGTTTAGGTCCATGCTAGTCCAGCTACAGAGAGCTGTGATGTGGCACGTCAACAGTACCACACAGCACATTATGTATAAAATACTGTATATAGCTAATATATTAATCTGGAGTGCAGCTCTAGATTCAGGAGTACTATTTCACCAAAGAGACAATCTCACCAGCTACAGAGGAATGTATTTTTTTTTATATATCTTGATAATTCCAAGACTGTGGGTTGTGCAGATCCAGGTATTTTTCTACCTTAAAATACGTTTCTCCTTGCCAGTTGAAGAACACGTACCACCTGACAAGAGAAAATGTCAAACTACAATTTCCTGAATGTGCCAAGGGCAGAAGCAAATCTAAAGTAGTAGTGTGGGTAGTGTAGTGTGTGGGTGAATATCAGTCAGGTAGTGACATTGAGATGTTGTAAGCTTGTCAGCACTATAGTTCCTAATTGTTGCCAATGGTAAAATGGAGTCCATTTTACATACATGGACTGCACCTCTA